TAGATGTAGATGTAGATGTAGATGTAGGTGTAGATGTAGATGTAGATGTAGATGTAGATGTAGATGTAGATGTAGATGTAGATGTAGATGTAGATGTAGATGTAGATGTAGATGTAGATGTAGATGTAGATGTAGATGTAGATGTAGATGTAGATGTAGATGTAGATGGAGATGTAGATGGAGATGTAGATGTAGATGTAAAAGTAGATGTAAAAGTAGATGTAAAAGTAGATGTAGATGTAGATGTAGATGTAGATGTAGATGTAGATGTAGATGTAGATGTAGATGTAGATGTAGATGTAGATGTAGATGTAGATGTAGATGTAGATGTAGATGTAGATGTAGATGTAGATGTAGATCTAGATGTAGATGTAGATGTAGATGTAGATGTAGATGTAGATGTAGATGTAGAGGTAGATGTAGATGTAGATGTAGATGTAGATGTAGATGTAGATGTAGATGTAGATGTAGATGTAGATGTAGATGTAGATGTAGATGTAGATGTAGATGTAGACGTAGATGTAGATGTAGATGTAGATGTAGATGTAGATGTAGATGTAGATGTAGATGTAGACGTAGATGTAGATGTAGATGTAGATGTAGATGTAGATGTAGATGTAGATGTAGATGTAGATGTAGATGTAGATGTAGATGTAGATGTAGATGTAGATGTGGATGTAGATGTAGATGTAGATGTAGATGTAGATGTAGATGTAGATGTAGATGTAGATGTAGATGTAGATGTAGATGTAGATGTAGATGTAGATGTAGATGTAGATGTAGATGTAGATGTAGATGTAGATGTGGATGTGGATGTAGATGTAGATGTAGATGTAGATGTAGATGTAGATGTAGATGTAGATGTAGATGTAGATGTAGATGTAGATGTAGATGTAGATGTAGATGTAGATGTAGATGTAGATGTAGATGTAGATGTAGATGTAGAGGTAGATGTAGATGTTGATGTAGATGTAGATGTAGATGTAGATGTAGATGTAGATGTAGATGTAGATGTAGATGTAGATGTAGATGTAGATGTAGATGTAGAAGTATATGTAGATGTAGATGTAGATGTAGATGTAGATGTAGATGTAGATGTAGATGTAGATGTAGATGTAGATTTAGATGTAGATGTAGATGTAGATGTAGATTTAGATGTAGATGTAGATGTAGATGTAGATGTAGATGTAGATGTAGATGTAGATGTAGATGTAGATGTAGATGTAGATGTAGATGTAGATGTAGATGTAGATGTAGATGTAGATGTAGATGTAGATGTAGATGTAGATATAGATGTAGTTGTAGATGTAGATGTAGATGTAGATGTAGATGCAGATGCAGATGCAGATGCAGATGCAGATGCAGATGCAGATGCAGATGCAGATGTAGATGTAGATGTAGATGTAGATGTAGATGTAGATGTAGATGTAGATGTAGATGTAGATGTAGATGTAGATGTAGATGTAGATGTAGATGTAGATGTAGATGTAGATGTAGATGTAGATGTAGATGTAGATGTAGATGTAGATGTAGATGTAGATGTAGATGTAGATGTAGATGCAGATGCAGATGCAGATGCAGATGCAGATGCAGATGCAGATGCAGATGTAGATGTAGATGTAGATGTAGATGTAGATGTAGATGTAGATGTAGATGTAGATGTAGATGTAGATGTAGATGTAGATGTAGATGTAGATGTAGATGTAGATGTAGATGTAGATGTAGATGTAGATATGTAGTGCAGATGTATTGTAGATGTAGATGTAGATGTAGATGTAGATGTAGATGTAGATGTAGATGTAGATGTAGATGTAGATGTAGATGTAGATGTAGATGTAGATGTAGATGTAGATGTAGATGATGTAGATGTAGATGTAGATGTAGATGTAGATGTAGATGTAGATGTAGATGTAGATGTAGATGTAGATGTAGATGTAGATGTAGATGTAGATGTAGATGTAGATGTAGATGTAGATGTAGATGTAGATGTAGATGTAGATGTAGATGTAGATGTAGATGTAGATGTAGATGTAGATGTAGATGTAGATGTAGATGTAGATGTAGATGTAGATGTAGATGTAGATGTAGATGTAGATGTAGATGTAGATGTAGATGTAGATGTAGATGTAGATGTAGATGTAGATGTAGAGATGTAGATGTAGATGTAGATGTAGATGTAGATGTAGATGTAGATGTAGATGTAGATGTAGATGTAGATGTAGATGTAGATGTAGATGTAGATGTAGATGTAGATGTAGATGTAGATGTAGATGTAGATGTAGATGTAGATGTAGATGTAGATGTAGATGTAGATGTAGATGTAGATGTAGATGTAGATGTAGATGTAGATGTAGATGTAGATGTAGATGTAGATGTAGATGTAGATGTAGACGTAGATTGAGATGTAGATGTAGATGTGTATATATATATATATGCATGTATATGCGTGTGTATACCAACATGTATAGCAACTACATGTGTACATGTATGCGTGTATGTGTATGAGTAGGTGTATGTGCTTCTGAATATGCATCTGTGTATGTGTGCGTAGATGCAAATGTAAATGTATGTGTATAAGTATGTGTATATGTGTGTGCAGCTACGTATATATATAAATACATGTGTATACGTCTAGATGTATACATGTGTACATGCCCTTGCATGTGTATGTACATATGTGAATGCAGATGGACACGGGTATGTACTTCAATAATATTAACTCGAAACTAGGGTTTCTCGGAGCGTGGTCCGATGCACAGGACCTTTGGGATCTCTGGAGTGTGGGCTCTGCGAGCCTCAAAGCCTTTTCTCGCAAGGTTGCACACAAGCGGGCGCTGTCGCCAAACAGCCCAAGGGCCCTCCGAAGCCCAGACGGCAGCGGAGGCAGCGGGTGAGAGGGAGCGAACGGGAGCAGGCACGGGCAACCAGTGCACATGAGACGTGAGAGAGGGGATTGGGGCAATGATAAACGTGAGCGATATTGCACTCACTATCTTTACTGTTGCCCAAAATCTCCCGAACAAACGTACGAATTAAACTGCTTCCGAAGCTCGGATTCACACGATAGCTTACGCAGCAAACGCACGGGCAGGCTGTCGCGCGGCGGCGAAAACACTAAAAACGTCAATATGGAAAATAAAATGTCGCGCGGCGGCGAAACTCGGAAAACATCAATATGGAAATGAAATGCGACATCTCAGACGTGTCACCTAGCCTGATGAAACAGAAAAGGAAACCTTTCACTCACGAGGGTAATCCGCTATCCGTCTGGAGACTCAGTTGATTATTCGCCAGAATCTCTCGTAACTGACTCGGAGGTTTTACCTTGGTCAAATGATCCGCAACTTGTTTATCGGTCGGCATCCAAAACACAGTAGATTTCGGGTCCTCCTCATCAAATTATTCGGTAACATGTGCTACCGCAGCAATGTCTATACTCAAACGCCGTTCCAGCGTTGTAGATGGGGTCCCTTCTTTAGTTAGAATGTCATACAAAGACTTGCAATCCGTTGCCACCTTAATCGGCATGAAGAAACTCGGGAGCTCACCTGAAATTCCCGGCTTGAAGTCTCGAAACAGAACCTCGGCAAACAAATGACGTTGGAAATCAGCTGTGTCCACACCAGCATCCATTGCCATTGCTTCGGCGGCCAAAGTACTTCGAACTACTCGACGAATACGGTGCGAACGCCAATCAAGAAGAGTAGCCGCTCCACCCTTGGAAGTCAAAGTATCTTGATCTGACAAGAAAACCATGAAACCGGCTTGACTTTGATTCTCCTGAGCGTTAGCCCATGCAGCATCAGCAAATGTAATGAGAACGCTTCTCGTAAAATCCAGCGGCACAACCAATAGTCCAACATCTTGGGAATCTCGCGCCTCGCGTAGGATACGATTAATAGCCATCAAATTGGAAATCTTCGGGTTCGATCCTTGTCCAAGAGAAGTCGCAGCAGCTAGATCCGGCCTCGTCTGACCAACCAACCACTGACAAGATCCTACACCACTAGCGAAATTGGTCCTCTCCTCGACAGTGAGCTCGGCCTCAGGCGTCGCAGATCTCCATCGCGGCAGTGGTGCCGGCACGCATTGACTACAAAACTCCTTCTGGTTTATGAAAATCGCACCGTTCTCGTTATTACTGAGATGCTTGCCACAGTAGGTCAACTTATTGTCCCACCATTTGCCGAAAGTGAACCGCTGGCGGATGGTTTCCAACAGCTTGGAGCCTTCTCGAGCGTCTGCGCCTCCGATGAGGTCGTCCACGTGGATGCCGATAATCATGATAATGCGATGTGACTTGTTGTAGAAACAGAATAGGGCCTTGTCCAGGAAGCACTGCTTGCCGCCGATGTGCATGAGAAAGTCACGAAGTTCTCGCCACCACAGGCGAGGACTATTAACGAAGCCGTAGATTGCACGTCGTACAAGTAGAAGAACACCGCGTCGAATACCTGGAAGTCCTTCAGAAGGTTGCCGAAGGTAAATCGGTTTGTCGCGCTGGGCCTTGGTCTGATCGGCCTGTAGGAAAGCTGTAGTCACGTCGCCTCCGAACAAGTTGAAGTCCCAGCTCGAGATCGCCTGCAGCAAGATGTAGAAAACAGCTCTCGTAAGGGTTGGTGCGTCACGTCTGAGAGTCATGATATCGGGGTCGTTGTAGCCGATACCCACGATTCTTGCCTTGGCGTCGATCTCGGAAACTCCACGTCCGGCATTCTTGTCGCGATAGCAGACTCTTGATGGTATAATGCGTTTCTTCTTCTCGGGGTCGCTCTCGATAGACTTGGACGTCTTCGAATCCAAGACCTCCACGGCTGAAAAGCGCTGCCAAGATGACCATTCACGGGCCAGAGCTTCTCGGAATAGAAGTAGCTGATCTGCAGGGATCTGCGAGTAGGGGATCTCACGAATGAGCGCCTTCTGGTCCTTCTTGGTCATAGTGAAGCTGCCGTTGTTGTTGAGGTAGACCTCGTAAGCGGGCGACTCGAGAAGGGTATACTGCTCGCACATGTAGATCGGGATGGCAGAATTATGCTCAGTGCCGTTGAAGCAAGCGTAGGTCGCACCTGGTGCCTGAGAAGTAGGCGGTGTAGTTGGCGTCTCTGGTTCTGCGAAGCGAGGTCGGCGGGCAGCTCGAGTATCTCCCACAGCGTCTTCGGGTAGTGGCCGAACAGCTGGCAATATGTTGTCCGTCATGTTGTCCCCGGAGCCGCTGGCCTCGGTTAGCTGTAGTGGTTCAGCCGGTGGCTGGGCAGGAGGTGGTAGAAGTCCTCGAACGTGTTCACGTCCTCCTTCATCTCGTAGAGCGGCGGCTAGATCAGACACGATCACATCGTTCGGGTCGATCTCGGAAGGTGGTACCGCACGTTCGTCGTGAAATCGTTCGGGTGGTGCTTGAGTAGCCTTGCGTAGCTCAGTCATGTCCTCCTCATCAGGTATCCACAATTCGGTACCATGTGCTTCTCGAAGTTGTTCTTTTGAAACCAAGATCGGATGTCCTGAAGACTGCACCCAAACATTGTTGTCATCGGCACCGCCACTACCACCAGGGCCGACCACAGTAGCCACAATGAACCTTGCTGGGTATTGCTTGCCCTTCTTGTTCTTCGCCTGGCGCCAGAAAGCCACTCGATCTCCCGGTGCGTAGTCTCCCCGGTAAGGTCGGTTAACTCGAAGCATCGCGCGCTTGAGAGACTCGGACCTGTCGTACTCGGTGAATGCCATGTCTGCGAGTGCTCGTACTCGGGCTCGTTTAGCAAGCTCGGCATCTGCGGTCATGGCGCTATGTACGACGGCAGAGTTAGCTGGATCGGTGATGCTGTCGGGGATCCTCGGGTCCTTACCGAAAGTCCACTGATATGGTGAAGCACCGCATTGTCGGACACGAGAATTGCGAGACTGGTTGATCGCTGGTGCCATCAGCTTCATGCCCTCAACTCCGGCAAGCTGCATCGTATCAATCACCTTCTTGGCCATGTGCTTCCAGAGTGTGATGTTAGCCTCGACTCGCCCTGACTGCCAGTGAGTTTCAGCTGGGGGCTTCTCGACGTGAACGTCGTGAGCCTCAAGATGTTCAACAAAAGCGGCCTGAAAAGCTCCATCACGATCGCAAACCACATGATCTGGATAACCAGCCCAAGATAACCAAGCCAAATTGAAAATCTCCAGCACCTGAATAGGATCACGAGTCGGACAATGAACCACCACCATCAGTAAACCTGACATCTCCAAAATTCCCAAGAACTGATGTGTCGTAAGAGCAGAATCAGGTAGGTAAAAGAAATCCAAACCAACACGAGCATTGACCGAACCCATATATGGAATCTTGGCGGGCCGTGGGCGTCGTGGTTTGACATTTCGCAAACATGAACTGCATCGCAGACGTCGGCTGAGATCGATCGCAACCTGGCTCGCGTCGCTCGCGTTCAGGAACCTCGTGAAATCAGCCTGCAGCGGGTGGCTCAAGTTCTGGTGCATCCTAGCAACGATGGGGGCGGCACGCTTCTCCTCCGGCGTGAGCGGAGGTCCGGCGAACCAAATCTCGTCGCCAGCCCGTTGTTGGACAGGCTGAGGCTGAAGTTCGTCTGGCTGTGGTTCGTCGGGTACTGGTACTGGCTGTCGTGATTCGCCTTCGACTGGTGGTCGAGGTGGTGCTGATACTTCGCCGACTGGAGCGCGTCCGATAATGAACAAACCGTATCGTACTGGGTCTTGAAATCGCTCTCGTGGTGCGTAGGCCTCTGGGACGTACTCATGCTCGACGATGATGCGATTATCTTCGAGTAGAAGAACAGAACATCTATGGACGTCTGGACCGTACTCAGGTTTAAGACGCTTTGCCTTCGGCTGGAAGGCGGCCTGCATGTACAAGATCTGCCAGGGAACCAACTCGGACACCTGCCTCCACATCTCTGAGTCCTGCGCCACCTGAGCTGAGGGGGCGTTCCTTCGACTCATGACATCGACGACCGATTGCATGATGTTCTTCCACTTTGTTTCGTCCATGTCGGGAGCCGAATAGCAGACGTGGTGCACAGTAAGGGCTGGAGCGTCGTAGGAGACGGGGTAATAACTGCACAGGTAGATGCCGTGTCCGAACTCCTCGCTCTCGATGACCCTGGTGAGACCTCGGCAGATGGCGTCTGCTAGCTGCCAGGTGTAGACCTGTGAGAGCTTGGTCTTGCCATCAGGTCCACCTCCTTGCACGTCTTCATGTGGATGGCTGTGGTCGCAGTGTCGGTCGAGCTCTTGAATGAGAAGTGGATGCGTACCCAACCAACGAACCAACTTCTTCATGGGGAGTCCCTGGTTGCCGACCATGCCGAACATGCACATATTAGAGGTGCACTCGTAGTTGTCCTGCCTGAGCTTGACGATTGCCTCCTCGCGCCACGAGTCGGCAGTAGCGGGATTCTCAAGCAGGGCATGATTGCCGTAGTCCTTCTGCTTATCGAAGATGTCCTTCGTGAAGGTGATGAAGCACCGCTCCTCATCGCGTAGGTCCTCCAGCACCTCGGGCATCTCCCTGTAGTTGACGTTGCGGTTGAGCAGCGACCAGAGTGAGTGTACACGGAAGCTGGATGATGACCAAGCGTGGCCGCCACCTGTCGATCGCATCGAGCACTTCCTTCCTGGCCTTCTGCTTCTTCAAGCCCTGACCGAACAGCTTGTCCACCGGTTGGAGAGCTCGCATGCCCCAGCCGTTGGCGCGGTCGGCGGCATGCAGGGCGATGCCGCACTCGCCCGCGAAGATCTCGTAGATGTCGAAGCCGCGTCGCTGGCGTCGTAGAAAACGGCTCTTCTGCATTCGTCTCTCATAGACACGCTTTTCGAGCTGCAAGTTGTTGTAGGCAGACTTGGCCATGCCGTAGTACCTCTTCGCCTGACCCGTCGTTAATTGGCTTCCGCCTGAGGTGGTCGCTCCCAGCTCGAGCCCTGCTCCTCGCTCATCGCCTCCGCGCTTGGTGACCTCCTCCTTCGTAGACTCGATGATCTTCGCGTCGCAGGTGGGCGCCCAGGCCGTGCTGATGGAGGTAAGCGCTGAGCCGACGAGGAAGGCGGCGCGCATGAACTGCTTACCGATGGATTGATGCGATCGATCTTTGCGCCTGGAGTCTCTCGCGTCCCGTGGAGATTCCAAAAGATCACGTCCTTCGCCCTGATCTGGTACTTCTCGCCCTTCCAGACCGTCCCGCAATAGAGGCACTCCTTGAACCTCCCGGCTGGAACTGTGTACTCGTGCTCCCCGTTGGTAGGATGGCAGCACGTCTTGTTCAGATCTGGATAGCATGACATCCTTGTCCGTGATCCTGTCCTGGCATCGGGAATGAAGCTGTCCACGGTCTTGTCCTGACACAGAATCTGCATCGCTGGAAACTGTCTGCTGAGAAAGCTGTCGATCACCTTGTACCTTTGATTCCTGTCGAACATTGTGATGACCGCAAACACTGCCTGAATGAGAATCGCCCATCGTGCCCGCAGGTCTTCGGTAGTGACCTTGGGAGTCCGTGGCACACACGGTCTCTGGATATGGAGAATGGAGATCGTTTGAGGCTGTCCTCTTAGAATGACCTGGCGCCGAAATGGCTCTGGCATCGATCGTGTAGTTTGCTTCGGCTGAGAACGGAACATGTCGATGGATATCCGTGTCACTGTTTCGTTCCTCATCGTCATTCTCCTGGCGTATTCTCGTAGATCGCCCCGGACCCGGGCCCCAATCGTGGTCTCGGAAATACTCATAGAACTTGTCGATCGAATCGGGGACGTTTCGACGTAGCTGAGGTACTGCTCGATCGGGTTCGGGCTTGCGGTGTCGTAGTTATCGGTGCTGTCGTTCGACTCGCTCGGGATAAGGTACGTCGTGGTGTTCTCGGTCGGCTCGATCGGAATGATGTACTTCGTGTTGATCTCGGTTGTCTCGATCGGTGACGCGAGCTGACCGACGATCGCAGAGAGATAGTGAGATGCGATTCGACTCTCGCAGGCTGCACGCGCACGCCGAAACTGTATATGTGTCAATCTCAAAGCCTGCGTCGACTGGAAAACCTGTAACTGGCCAGTCGTCGATCCGAACTGCGAGATGTCCACTCTTAGACATCGCCAGCTGTACGTTCGGAAGCTGAGCGGCCAGAAAATGGACTCGAGAACCAGCCAGGTCGATCACGCAACCAAGATCTGTCATCAAGTCTCTTCCGCCCAGGAAAGGTAAACGAGCCGTCGCCACGTCATCAATCGTTGAAGTGTGCAAAGCTATCGCACATCCGTGAACTCCGACTGGCATTGACCAACGTTCTGTACTCGTCATCGGCTCGCCAGGGCCGAAGCGATACAGTTCACGTTCGGGTTGAGAGCATACCTGTAGACCCAGTCGGTCTAGATAGCGTTCTTGAAATAGTCGAAACCCTCGTAGTCCAGCGACCGTCGTCTGGCACGCAGCGTCGAGCACCAGAAGGTTGGCGTCGCTGACGATGTTCACCGTGCTGAAAACGTCCTTCACCATCGTCATCATGTAGATCGAGCGCTCCTTATGGAAGCTCTTCGTATTGAACCTCGTCCTCTGGCCGCCGCTGCCGTACGTCATCATGATGTGTCGTGCGTGACCGGGCTCTTGTTGTGATGTACTTGTCTCGTGAAGTCCGTATTCTCGGACAGCACTCTGACGTCGTGAACTGGCACCTGAGGCGGCGTCGTACCGAGTGTATCGTGGATATTGTTGGTCGCCGCTAGGACCTGATGTACATACTCAGATTCACAAGCTGTGGGTAATCTGTTCGCACTGTAACCGTGTCTCGTCGAAGCCGAAGATGCGCCTGAAGTCGTTCGTCCATCTTGATCGCGTTCGTGTTGGGCAGGCTGCTGATGGGCAGGTGGCCACCAGGCGTCGGAGGACTGCGATGCTTCGTTCGCACTCCGTGTAGCCGTCGTACCCGTTGATGTTCTCTTGGAGGCTGGCGCTCGGCACTGGCGGTCACCTGCCCAATGGCCGATCTCGCCACACGCCGAGCAGTTGGCCACCTTCTTGAGGTCCTCCAACGACATGCCACGTCGCGCCTTGCCTCCGTCATTGCCCTTGCCTTTGCCGGAACGATTCGGCTGGTAGCCCTTGCCGTGCTTACCTTTGCCCTTGCTGCCCTTCGTGTTGTAGTAACCTCGTGCTCTGTTGGCCTGATTGAGACGATCATGAGCCTGCTTGAACGTAACATGAGCAGTGTGAATCTCTCTAGCCAACGCCTCGGGTAGCTGCTCGTCCCAGAAGTCGCCGGAATCTTCCTCCCAGCTGTTGTCGTACGAGTCATCATGTCCAAAATCTGCGTCAATCACCTGCCAATCCTCATGGTCGTGCTGGTAGTCGGGCTCGGTGACCTCCCTCTCGTACGTATCCTGGTTCGTGACGTGAGCACAATACTGAGGTCTGTACTTGCGATCTCCTTGAAATCTGTTGCGAGGCACCAGCGGCATGGGAAATAGAATAGCCGCTTGCTCCTTCAGGGGCTTCCACTCGAACTTCGAACCTGCGCCCATCAATAATGTGGCCTGTGTCTTGTGGTCCAGCTGCGAACTCTTCATGAACTGCCTAATGATGATTGGATCTGGAATAGCCGAATCGACCGACCTTGCCTGGAGCACTGCCTTGTCCACTCGAGTGGCGAGCTGGAGTAAGGTCTCGCCTGGCTTTACGTGCTCCATATGAAAGAAATCGTCCATTGCGGCGCCTATCTTGACCGTCGGGCGTTGATCGAAATATGCCAACCTGTCGAGTAAGAGCTCCACACCATTTGGAACTGCGAAAACTGTCGGGCTCCCGTCCTCTACGTGGTCGAAAGCTTTGTCTCTGAGCGCTGCATACAGTCTCGGTGCCATCTCCTCGGGGCCGATGATGTTCTTCGCAATCAAAACCCAGTTCTCGACCTGCGCCTTGTAGCGTCTGAATATCTTGGGATCCTCCATGTTGCCATCGAACTCTGGAGGCGGCGGTAGGTTACCTCGAGGTTTGGAGCGAGGATCGTCTTGTGGATCACGACCTTTTCCTCGCTTGCCTCCTTTGGCCGAGAACTCTCCATCATCGTCATCATTGCCCTCATCTGCAGAAGCGCGGCCACCAGCTGGTGGCGTGTTGGGAGGTGTACTCCTCCTCGACATGGCGGCACTTGTCCGTAGGAAAGTTGCTCTGCGCTACCAATTCAATAATATTAACTCGAAACTAGGGTTTCTCGGAGCGTGGTCCGATGCACAGGACCTTTGGGATCTCTGGAGTGTGGGCTCTGCGAGCCTCAAAGCCTTTTTTTCTCGCCTGGTTGCACACAAGCGGGCGCTGTCGCCAAACAGCTCAAGGGCCCTCCGAAGCCCAGACGGCAGCGGAGGCAGCGGGTGAGAGGGAGCGAACGGGAGCAGGCACGGGTAACCAGTGCACATGAGACGTGAGAGAGGGGATTGGGGCAATGATAAACGTGAGCGATATTGCATGTACGTGTGCACATCTATGCAAGTACATGTGTGCATGTGAATGGCATGTACACGTACATGTGTACGCGTGTATATATTTGCATCCGTATATGATTATGTATACGTATGTGTGTATGTAGATGTGTACGCATGTGCTGCGCATGCACATAGAAAGAAGTATGCGTATGTGTATGTGTTCATGGAAATGCATGTGGATATACATATGTATATACAAACGTATTGGTGTAATGGTATGTATATGTAGGTAAATGTACAAATAAAAGTGTTTGTCGGTGTAAGTGTATGCGTTTATGTACGCGTGTCTGCAAATGAATATGGGTTGGTATGTACAGATATGCACATGTATGTGTGTAAATATGTACATGTATGTGTTGTCGTGTACATGTATGTGGATATGTATATGTGTATGTGTATGTGCATGTGTCCGTATGTGCATAGGTATGTGTATGCGTGCGTTCAAGTGTAACTGTAACTGAATATGTATATGCGCATGCCAATGTACACTTATGTATATACGTACAAATGGTTGTTACAATGTCTGTAGACCAGTGCGTACGGAAACCCACACAGAGGATGCACTGTAGCAGCACCCAATGTTCACAGCACCTCTATCAAAGAAGGTACAGGGCCGCGCACGCGTCACCAACCACGCCTCTTGGCTTCTCATGGATTCACCGCCGCCACGCCCCGCAGGACTCACCTTCTTCCCCTCCGACCTACCTCAAATCCCCACGCCTACTTCCGCTCACAGGCCCTCCCTCGGACCTCGAGCTGGCCTGGACCTCTCCCCTCACCGCTCCCTGCAGCCTCTCCTCTGTGCCTATGCCTGCGCACATTGTGCAGCGCCGACGCGCAGAGCACAGTTCAGGCAGCCCGAGCCCTGCTGAATGCGGCGCACAGGGGAGGCATCCTTGATCTCTTCCCGCGCGCCCTTCTGCGCCCCCTTGCCGATGGCGGTCACATCCCTGTTCTCCAGGCGCGACTTGGGCTGCTGGCCTACGGCATGGCATTCTCCTCCTGCCCTGCTCTTGTCATTCCTCGTCCTCCTCTTCCTCCTCCTCCTCCTCTACCCCCTCCGCCTTCTCCCTCGCATCCTCATCATCACCATTCCAATTCACATGCAGCGCACAGACTATCCATCCTCGCTGTGGTGTTTGCCCTCTCCCTGCCCCGCCCCCGCACCACCCCACCTGCCCAATCCCACAGCGAAGGTAGACCAAAAGCCCGGCCATGAAGACGGCAGGAGGAGCAAGAATGAGCAAGAGAACGCACGCCGCTGAGAGAAAACGCATGGAGGCCGCGGTGGGGAAGGGACGAGGCAGAGCGGGGAGGCGATGATGACGGACGCGACGTGGGGAAGCTGCTTGAATCGCGAACACTCCGCACAGTCGGGGTTGATTGGAGAGGACACTCGGGAGGACGCAAGGCCCTTCTGAGGGCCACATTGCCATAGAAACGCAGAAGGCATGGGTCGCGAAACGCAGGACACGAGGGCACCCTTGAGTTGGCAGGGTCGACCTCCTAATGAGCCTCGACTGCACAATGTCCATACCTGCCACGGCACCTGCACGCCGCATGCCTCCAAAACACACACTGACATACACACACACACACACACTCAACCGCACGCGCTCCGCAGCGGGAGAGGGCGTGCTCCGGGCCATTCGAAAAAAAGCCGCCGCTCCCCTGCGCCTCCAGCGCGATGCGCCAGCAACTACCAGGGCCCCCCTCCACGGAACACTGGCTGCGTGGAAGAGATCTTCGTCGCATCGCACTTGAACGGCTCCCGTTCCCTGTACCCTCCCTTTTCCCTGTGCTCCTTCGTTTTCCTCTATTACAAGCACACACAGCACACACACACACAAGCACATACACATATACACACATGTTTTACGTCAGCGGCTAGGCAGTCACCGCGTTGGCGCTGAAACACACAAACACACACACACACACACACACATCTCTGAGCGGTAGCGGCCTCGCGCGCGGCGACGAGGCAGAGCAAGTCCGAACAGAACACACACCAACACACATTCTTCTACTTCCCTACTTCCTCTTCCCCTCCCCCTCCCACTGAGCAAATACAGCACGCAGTCCGACACAACAGCACATGGCGCTAGCATGCTCTCTTCGCGTAGGCGAAGACCCACGCACACATGTTTCCCCGCTGGCGAAGCAACACGTGACATCCTCCATGGGGCACACACAAGCTAGCTTCACCTACATGCATACACAGATGTTGATTCCTTAACGTTTACAAGCTGCAAGAATTGGAAGACCCTCCCCCAGACCCTCCAGCAGATCCTTGGTCCCCATGGACCCCATGGACGCCCTTGCAGTGGATCCCCCAGGACCTCCGGGCCTCCTGGACGTCCCCGCCCGGCCTGACCAGCGGGCGCGAAGCGGTCAGGAGGATGGCCAAAATGGCCCCGCGAGAACCCTCAGCGGCCCTGGACACCCACAAAATGCCCAATGACGACCCAAAAACACCCCCAAAAGGCCCTCCAAACGGGAAAGAAAGACGTTGAGTCTACTTTGGCTCTTGTGTGATTGATTGGAACTCAGTAACTCGATCTTCTGGGCGCCCGACCCCACCCAAAAGACCCCGAATATCACCCCAAAACGAAGATGGCCCAAAAACGCCTCCCGAAACTCTCCAAATCGTTACCCCGTCGAGGAGGGAGACCGCGATTCGCAGCAAGGTGGCCCGAGGAAGCCCCCAAGAGGCGCCAAATAGGCCTTCACAAGCCCCCAAGAAAGATGTTTTTTCCCAAGGAGGAGCATCCACCAAAAAAACTGAGGACGAGGAAGGGTTCACAGGGTAAGGCGGGAACGAGGAAGAGGAAGAAGACTGAGGAGGGAAGGAAGAAGAACAAAATACTAAGTTACTAGAACGACAACGACGACGACGACGACGAAGACGACAACAAGGCGATATCGTTATTCGACTGTGCCACTCTGACTCATCTCATTCCGCCCGCGACAATGGCGAGCCGAGAATCAGGCGAGGCGCCGAGACCGCACTAGAACTGGGCAGACCACGCAAGAGGCAGCGGCGACGACGTGCGGGGCGCTCCCCAAAGAGGGGCGGAGCCACCGGACCGCGGCGGGGCGGCGGGTGCGCGAGGAGCCCCGGCGGGCTCGCAGCCCCGAGCGCGGAGCGGGCAGGTCCACGCTCGCAGCGACAGGGCGAGGGCCGAGCCAAAATGAAGGGTCCCTGGGACACACAAATGAATGCACACAGATGACAGGATTCCCCATATGTTCCGATGTCTTCTTGGTTTCTGTCTTCCCCCCACTTCCCATATGTTCCCATATTTTCTGGGGGATCGAGGATTTATTGTGTCTGTGTGTGTTTCTTTCCCTCCTGACAAAAGAAGGGGCGGGGCGCGTCTCGGGCCCCCCCGGCGGGGTGCCGAGGCTCGCGCGCGCGCGCCGTGCCAGCGGGAGAGCCTCTGGCTGCACGGCAGGACCCGGCCGGGCGAGGCGCACCGCGGAGCAGCGCTGGGGCGAGGCGGGCCGGGGCGAGGCGGCGGGCCAGGGAGGGGGCGGGCAGGAGGGCGGGCACCGGCCCGGAGGCCGCCGCGGAGCGGCACCCCGCGCCGGGAGCGGACGGCACCACGCGCGGGGCAGCAGGGGCGCGGCGCAGGGCGGAGCCGCAGGGGGAGGCGCGCAGGCGGCGCCGGGCGGCGAGGCGCCGCAGCCGGCCGAAGCAGGGAGGCCGGCGAGCGGAGGCCGGGCGCGGACGAGCCCGGGGGCCCCGCGCCAGGAGCCGGCAGAGCCGCACGCGAGGCAGCAGGGGCATGGAGCAGAGAGGAGGGGGGCGCCCCCTCACGAGAGGGCGGGAGGTCCAGCCCCACAAGGAGCACCCCGACGCGCGGGGCCGCCGAGCACAGGCACCCACGGAGGGGGTCGAAGAGGGCAGGGCGGCGGTGTCCAGTAAACGCCCAGGGCCGGTCAGCAAACGCCAACTATCGGGACCGGGTGGCTTTTCCCCCTTGACCTCAATCGCTCGCCCACTGGCCCGAAGAATTCATCGTTCCACTCATCGAAAGGCCGTGCGGGAGGCGGGCTCGACATCCGCGGGGCGGGGGCCAGCCGCGGGGCGGGGGCCGCCGAGCGGCGTGAGGGCAGCATGCCGCTGCCGCTCGTCGCCGCGCGAGCCGTGGCCGCCGTCAAGAGCGAAGGCGCCGCCAGGGGTGTGAATGAAGGGGCCCTGGGACACACAAATAAACACACACACACAAATAAAAGGATTCCCCATATCTTCCCATATTTTCCGGGTGTCTGTCTTCCCCCCCACTGCCCATATTTTCACGCATTTTTCTGGGGAGTCGACGATTACTTGTGCCTGTGTGTTCTTTGTCCCTCCTGAGTGAAACCAGCGGATGCCGCCGAGGCCGTAGACGGCACCGCGGCCGGGAGACGAGCCAAGCCATCGGGCGCCTTGCAAAAACCGATGGCGGCGGCGCCTCGTCGTGTCCTCGGCCCCATCGGGGCCCTCGCCGGGCCGGGCCCGGCAGACGCCCGCTCTGGACGGAAGAGCGAAGGCCCCCCGGGGGGGAGCGGTGGCCTCTCGGGAGGCCTCGGGGGGCCGCGCCTCGAGAGAATCGAGAAGTCGGACGTCTATTATTATTATTACTATTATTATTATTATTAGTAGTAGTATTATTATTAATAGTATTATTATTAGTAGTATTATTATTATTATTATTATTAATACTATTATTATTATTATTACTATTATTATTATTAAGTACATACACGTATTTACTTATTAATGTATGAAGTTAAGTGCTTATGTATGTATGTATTGATTTGTGTATGTATTCATTCATGTATGCTTTTATTTATGTATTTATGTACGTATGTATTGATGTATTTAGTTATATATTTATGTGTTGCTGTATGTACTTATGCACTTACTTATTTAGTAAGT